AGTACTAGTAGTGTTTGAGGTCTAGAGAGTCCTACTAGCAGCAGCGAGATGGGGTGATGATGGATAGAGTGCTTAGATTCAGGAAGCCCTGAGTTTGAATCCTATCCTCAACCCTTACTGTCTGTGTGACCCTGGGCAAGTCACTCATTCTCTTAGACTCAGTTTCCTCTACTGTAAAATGAGGATAATTTAACAGCTATTTCATAGGGGATGTTGTGAGAATTGAAAGACAATGCATGTAAAGTGGTTTTCAAACCTTAAAGAGCTATCTAAATTTTAGCTATTATCATTATTACCAAGTTGTAAAGGCTTCAGGTGGAACATGCCAGTTATCTAAGGACAATTCTAGCTTAACTAAATTCCCAGAGGGTCCTCAACAAATTGGCATCGGGGTGATGTTTCCTTATTGATAATCCACGTAGTTGAGGAGCATCAAGGTCATAGGATAAGTTACTAGTAAATACTTTGCCTGGGACAAATCGAAAAGGGTGGAAGTAGAATGAGGTTCATCTAGAGTTGAGCCACCGAGTTGAGGCTACCACATGAGTGGGGCTGGATAAAGTAAAAGAAACACTGGGTTGGGGAAGCCCATCTCTAGACAGTGCCCTGGATACCCTCTAAATTTTATGCTCAGAGACAAAACTCATATGGCCTTGCCCTAGTTATGTATCTGGGCAAAGCCATGAAAGTCACATATCCTTGAGGTGAGAGTCATTTATACTTCATATTGAATTTCTTTTGGATGCTTTCCTAAGAACAGATTGTGATGGGTCCTAGAAGAAGGTGGGGCCAGTGTGGCCACCAAGGGAAGAAAAAGCAGAGGAGATTGGCAGCTTCTGAAGACAAACTTCTCTGATTTTGCTGTGTTGCCTAGGGCTGACCTTGCTGGGGTCTGTCAGCAGCTTGAAGACATACTGTAGTGCTTTTCCATCTTATTCAAATCTTCTGATAGCTCTTGGTGTAGGTATCCAGAAAGAAATTCCAGAGAAGAGATGCTCAGCCTGTGTAAATGAGCATTTTAGAACCTATTTCTGAAACACAGAGAATGCCTGGACACTAGTCATACCTTTCCTAGGGCCAGAGGATCACAGATTTGGAGCCGGCAGGGTCCTTAGAAGTGACTGAGTCCAACCCCCTGATTTTACAGATGAGGAGTTCACTAAGAAGTGACTTGCCCAGGGACACACAGCAAGTGCCTCAGATGGATTCAAACCCAGATCTTCCTGACTCCAAGTCCAGCACTCTATCCAACACACTACACTGCCTCTCACTACTATTTTCACTCTTGTGGACCCCTTCTAGTTTTCATGCCTACTTCGGGGGGTCAGATAATCAGTAAAAAGTGTAGAGATTCAATTGTAGAACCCCAAGTTTGGAAAATCTTAAATGAATTTTTCTAACTTCTCTTAATTTGCTTAGCCTTGGAATTGATTGATTAATCAAGAAGCACGTGTTTATTCATTTATTGATCACTTGCTGCATTCCAAACTGGCTGATATGTAACAACTGAGTGAGATGAGGAGATGGAGTCAGTTAAGTGTGTCTTCTGCAATGTCTACTTCTTTTTCTTTCCTTAGGGGGTTGCTTTCTCCCATTGCCCTCCCCACAGGGCTTCTGAAAATCTGTTTTCAGGAAAGAATCTCAAACTCATTCACACTCAGGTGTAAATGCTGCTGTGGACACTACAAAAGTGAGATTGACTCAGCCCTCAAGGAGCTGATATTCTATTTGTACCCTTCTTTTCTCTCCTTGATATGCAGGAAGAGGCATCAGAATCAAGGACATTCTGAGAGAAGAGGAGACATTGACACACTTCCTGGTGCACACATTTGGCTTGCCTGACTCCGTGGTCTATCTTCTGATGAACTCCCAAGTCCGTCCTGAGCAGGTAGGGGGACTTGAGTGTAATGAGGACAGTAGAAATGGGCATGTGCCTTTGCCCTTTGCTTACAGGCATATGAGTATTTGCAGCCCCATCACCCATGACATGAATGATGGTGGGAGTGGAGGGGGGGTGTCTTTGGAGGAAGAGGAGAGAGATGAGAACAGAACGGCTATGATTTCACCTACCAGTTTGGACCAAGGTGCCAAGAGAGAAACCCAAGGGGGGGAACATCTGGGAGAGGCAGAAAGGACTTTTCAGGGGTGAGGATTAGTGCTTTACCTTCAGAAAACCACAAAGGGGACAAGAAGAGGATGCAAAGTTTGGCTGTGGATACCAAATGATGCATCCTTTCCTCTATGTGTTTCTGTAGGCTCCTTCTGATAGTTCTTTGTTCTGATGGGTTCTAATTTATTGTTCAGTTGTTTCAGTAGTGGCTAAGTTTTTGTGACACTGTGACTTTTCTTGGTGGAGATGCTGAAGTGGTTTGCCATTTCCTTCTCCAGCTCATTTTACACATGAGGAAACTGAGACAAACGGGGTTGGTGACTTGCCCAGGGTCACACAGCTAGGAAGTGTCTGAGGCTGTATTTGAACTCAGGAAGATGAGTGTTCCTGACTTCAGGCCCTGTTTCCATCGACTGTGGCGCCTGGATCCCAGTTCATACAAAAAGGCACTCCCCTTCTTCAAGCAGACTGTAATTCCTCTATAGCTCCTAAGCCTACACAATTCTTGTTTACATTTCTCTATAACTTATTCATAGGAGATCTGGCCCTCTCTCCATCTTCTGAGATAGCAGTGAATCATTTGTTATTTGGGTCCAAATCGCCTTGACTAAAATCCAACCCCTTTTTGTTGTTTCCTGTTGGGTCATATGCTCACTGAAGGCAGGGCCTGGGCCTGTAGCATAATTGTGCACAGTGCCTAGCCAAGCATTATGTGTGTATATGTTATTTATATAATGAGTTCTAAACTTGTGGTATTTATATTATGAGTGAGAAGAAGGATGGTAGAATGGATAGGGTAGTGGACTTGGAGTGAGAAAGACTTGAATTCCAGTCCCACCTCAGACGCTTACTGGCCACGTATCCCTACTCTCTTACCTCAGTTTCCTTATCTGTGAACTGAGGGGGATGGTCAAGATGTCCAGCTCTAGACCTATAATCTGATGATCACAAGACCTCTGGTATCTTCTGTTTCTTGGTCAATTGTCTGCTATGCTTCTGTGTCTGAAAAACTTGTTCAGTTGCAGGCAACAGCCAACCTAGTATTAAAGCTCACCAAAGTGGGCTTGGTGAACCTCTTGGGACAAGCCTACATCTGTGCCCTGGGCTTGACTGGAAGCCTTTTGAAGTTGGTAGGACTTGCATAAGCTTTTGCTATCCAGGCATAGCTCTCCAGAGCCCGTGGTCACCTCCATGTCACAGTGATACATTGGAGAAAGATTGTAAAGAAAAACAAAATAGAAAATGGCAGGGCAAATGAGGAATGATGAGACTGCATATGAGATCTGTGAGGCCCCCTTAGCTAATGCCTTGGCCAGCTCAGCCTTGTACAGGTCTTCCACTGTACAGCCCTCCTATTCATTTTTCTGTCTCTAAGGACTGTGGCTGGAAAGTTCCTAACCCATTCCTCCCAGCGTCTGCTCAGGGGTGGTAAGAACTTTCAGGCTGGTTTCATGGTAAGAACACTGGCTTGGGCTCAGAGGACCTGGGTTCAAATTCCACCTCTTCTGTTTGCTACTCATATGACCTAGGGTGAGTCACTAGCTGGGTCTCAGATTCCTAGGAGCATAGACTTAAGGGCTGTCTGGAAGAGACCTCAGAGACCATCTAATGCAACTCCCTCATTTTAAGGAAGAAGAAACTGAGGCTGAAGTGACATGACTTGCCCGGAGTCACATAGGTAGTGAGTGTCCAAGGAGGGATTTAAGCCCTTGAAGTCAGGTCTTCCTGACTCCAACTCTGCCTTCTGTCCATTAGTCCATGCTTTCCCTCACATTTCCTGATCTGTAAAGTGAGGGGATGGGATTCTGTGGCCTCTGAGGTTCCTTCTACCTCTAGACTCATGATCTTATGAGCTAAAAAAACTTTGAGAAAAATCCAGGCCTCTGTCTCTCTCTAGCTGTCTCTGAGTCAGGTGTTCTCAGAAACAGAACAAAGGGTGCTACAGGTCAGGCCATTCTTGAGTCAGCCCATCAGTCCAGGGCACCCTGGTGCCAGCTGCCCCCTGAATGTACTGTCCTTCTTGGGCTGCCCCTGCAGCTGGAATGTAGCCCTGTTCCATGGGAGGCTCAGTGTGAGGCCTGAGGCCCCCTGCTGCTTTGGGGTGGGGGTAGGGAGGAAGAATGTGTCAGCACCGATTGCTCATTTTCCTCTTTGCTGTCCTGATGGCTCATAAAGCCGAACTCCTGGAAGTGTACATGCTGGTTTCCAGTTGGTAAGAAAAGGCAGATAGAGACAACAAGAGGAATTTTGGGGAAATTTCTTTCCGGTTCCCCTCCAACAAACCAGTTACATTTGGAGCCCCAGTCCCTGCAGGCTTTAACGCCTGAAAACCTTTCATGAGGAAAGAACAAGCAGTCCAGGTCCCAGTACCCTGGGCTGCAGCTCACCTGACAAATAAACCCCGGAGCTTAAGCAAAGCTTATGGTCAACCAGACACATACAAGGGCTCTTATTCACATGTGTCCCACACGGTTGGGGGGAGGCTGGGGTTGGGTACAATCTAAGAGGCAGCTTAGGGTCATGGAGAGAGGGCCAGCTTTGGTGTCAAGACTACCCCAGTTCAAGTCCAGCCTTGGGCACATCCCAGCTGTGTGGCCCCAGGACAAATCACTTAACCTCTTAGTGTCCTAGGGCAGCTCTCTAAAACCCTCACTTACCTGGGAGTTGTTGATCTGCCTTGGTGGAAGGTATGTCCACACTGGGAGTTCTAAACAGAAATTAAGCCCAAGTGGCTCCAAACTAGGATTTCTTCTTCCCCTACACCCCCACCATACTTACCTTATGTGCATATGTCCCTGGGCCACTTACCTGTGTCTTAATTTCTCTGTCTCAGTCTCTCTTCTTTAATCTCATCTTCAGTCATTTCTTTCTCATCCTTGAGATCTGTAAGGATACGTCTTACTCTAGCTCTAGCTCTGTTACCTCCTTGACCATCTCAGCCTATTTGATTCATCATCAAACACAGGGCTTTGATCCCTTAATACTGTGTATTAGATTCCACTCCCAAGGTCCTTTTTAAAGGGCTCCTATATCCATTCTCTCAGCTGGAAGATCATCTGAGGATTAGAGCACAGAGGAAAAACAAAACAAACCTAGTCACAATCCCTTGGGATAGTAAGCAGCCCAGACTGATACAAAATCCTGTCCATGCCCTTGTGGCCTCACTTAAAAGTGACCTGGTTTCCCAGTTTGGCCAGGATGATTCTGGTTGTTGACTGCTTGCACTGGGTGGGCAGGTTTCCTAGGTAAAGTCCAGGAGAGACTCTGTCCTGGAGCCAGGGGGTCCCTGCAGTATGTGACCATGGGCCAACTGTGAAGTACACGAGTGGCTAAGCAGATGGGAATTACCTGAAATTCACCAAGTCATTCATCTGCTTGGGAGCTTGTTTGCAACTTGCTTCGCTGGAGGCCAGCAGTCCTGGTCTCAAAAGGTGCCATCCCCACTGCTGTGCTAAGGTAACCCCTGGCCCAGATTGGTCCCTATCCCTTGCTTCAAGTGCCTATAGGGTTCTCTCACTTAGGATAAGGAGAGAAGCCTTTGAGTCATTAAGGGGATTTGGTATTATTCCCCACAGTTTGCTTATGGTGTCCCAGACCTGATGCTGAAAGACATTGCCTGCAGTGAAGCCCTACTAAACCGGTTCATCATCTTCAGCCAGCGACGAGGGGCCCAAACTGTCCAGAGAGCCATGTGTCCCCTGTCCCAAGGCAGTCTGCAGTGGGTGGAAGATGCCCTGTATTCCAGTGTGGACTTCTTTAAGCTCTTTCAGCTGGTAAGTGAATGACTTGCTGGTGCCCCCATGGGAGGAGTCATCCCCAGGGCTGGAGGGCATGGAGCCAACTTGTTGAATGAATACTCATGGAATGTCTTCTCCAGGGTAGTGAGTCAACACTGAATCGTGTACAAGAATAAGCCTTGAGACGTCATTATCATATTCATTCTTTAGCTACATTCTACAGAAGGCCAAAGTTACAGGAGTGGTTATATCTATGACATACACACAGGCACAGACACAGACACACACATATACTTTTCAGAGGTCAGGATTAGTGCTTTACTTTCAGAAAAGCACAAAGGGGACAAGATGAAGATGATATAAATTTTGGCTCTGGATACCAAATGATGTATCCTTTCCTCTATGTGTTTCTGTAGGCTCCTGCTGGTAGTTCTTTGCTCTGATGGATTCTTTTTATTGTTGTTCAGTTGTTGCAGCTGTGGCTAACTTTTTCTGACTTTGTGACTTTTCTTGGCAGAGATGCTGGAGTAGTGTGCCATTTCCTTCTCCAGCTCTGGGTTCAAATTCTGGCCCTGCCACTCACTACCTGTATGACTTGAAAGTCTTTTAATTTCTCCAGGCCTCAGTTTTGTCCTATGTAAATTAAGGGGGTTGGCCTAGGTGATCTCTGAGGTCCCTTCCAACTCTAAATCCATGATTATATGAATAATAATACATAGATTTTTGTTTGTTTCTAGACCTTTGATTTTTATCTGTGTAGGGAATTCTTTCTTAGAAGCTCCCTCACCTGATGGAAGTCAGCAACTTGTCTGCAATTTGTAATCTTAGAGGGTTGCCTAGTTCCCTTAGAGGTTAAATGACCCAGTGGTCACAGAGTGTGTGTCACAAGCATAACTTGAACCCAAGTCTTCCTGGTTCTGAGGCCAGCTGCCTATCCACTGTGCCATGTTGCCTTTTGATCATAAAAGTGATTAGGATAATAACCATGTCCTCATTTACATAGTATTTTAGAATTTATAAGAAAGGAATGCTTTGCAATGGAGCTGCCCTCTGAACCAGGAAGACCTGAATTCAGTTCTTTGCTGCTGAGATTAACATTATTCTTGCCTGGTAGGCCCTGGTGAGGTTCCTGAGGCCAAAGGGCCTGAGACCTTCACCAGTCCCTCTTCTTGTCCTGCCCTTCCGCTCTTTCCTAAGTTCAATACTCTGGGGTTGCCTGTCTCCTCAATAGTGGCAACTGTGCTCCTGGTCCATCAATTCTACCTCCACTTGGGATTTCTGAGGAACAATCTTCTTTTTGGCCCTAGTCTATGGGGTCCTGCCAAGCAAGGGTGGGAGAAAAGGCATCCAGAATACAAACATGAATCAAGTATTGAACAGAGTTTTATTCCTACACAGAAAGAGAATGCTATGCAATAAAGAATCTTAGAATGTTTACCATCTATTGCTAGGTTAATATTCAAGGCTCACTGGGATGTTTATAAGTAGCTCTTGTCTTTGCAAGAACTTTTCCTCACCTCCCCTCACCACAGCTTGATTATACCAAGAGGGCCCTGATACTTTCTCTCTGTGGGCTGCAGGGATGAGGATGGGGATGGGGGAAGGTAATGTCCTGCTGCTGTCTCCACTGTGGCTGGTCCAGAACAGCTGCTGCCTTTCAAGATCAAAGCCCTTCATCAGTGGAAAGGAAGCATAGACAGGAGATGGTCCCATCCCAGGCATAGGCCTGTGAGTTCACTGATTGGGCCAGCTGTGGGGATGGTGTCAGGAAATCATCCTTCAACCTCAAGACAAGAGGGAAGAAGAGGCCTGAGAAGTGGCCATTGTCTCTTTAGTAGATCCTCAGAGTTTTAGCTCAGCAGTCAATAAAAAGAGTCCTGTGGGTGGCAGGGAGTAATCAGAGGTTGTCTACACTAGCTCTGGGGTGTGTGTGTGTGTGTGTGTGTGTGTGTGTGTGTGTGTGTGTGTATGTATGTGTGTGGAGGGCCCACCCCATCACATATTTCTAAGTGGTGCCACAATATTAACTAAAGTTTTACTGTGTTTTATGTTGTAAAAATGGAAATTCCTTGAGGGTACAGATTATGTCCCAACCCAGCGCCTAGAACTGAGCAGACACTTTAGAAAATGTTCAGTTGAATTGAATTGGATTGATTATGATGGAATCTTTCCTGGAGGAGCTCAAGTGTCTGCATCTTTTGCCCTCCCCCCCTTTCTTTTTAGTAAGAGATCTCTGCTGTCTGAGTTCCCTGAAATTTTCTCCTGTCCAGCCTTAAAAAGCAAGATTAACATTCTTTTAAAAAGTCCAGTAGAATATGAGGTCCTGAGAGCAGGGGCTGTTTCACTTTTGGTTTGGGGCCCCCACCCCCACCCCAGCCTGACCGAGTGCCTGGCACATAGTATGCCCTTAATAAACACTGATTTGAGTTCCACTACAACCCTGTAGCTCCAGCTCTTCTCTCTCAGTTACAAGCATTTAGCTCATTTCAACAAACGTGTTTGAAGCACCCATTATGAACCACGTACTGTGCAAAGCAGGGACCCAAAGAGGAGAACCAAGCAGAAGTGTCTGCTCTCAGAGAGGTTATATTCAGCAAAGTTTGTATCCAGAAGGATCTGGGAAGGGGGCTGGATCAGGACATAATCACACACACTCCCTGTGGGCAGAAAAGGGGTTTTTCCTTGGCTCCAAATGGTAGATGGCACTGTGGGAGACAGCTTTTCTTTCCCTCCGGTGGCATAGTGGATAGAGTATGAAGTCAGGAAGACTTGAGTTTTCACCCTACCTCAGACAGTCACTAGCTGTGTGACCCTGAGCAGATCATTGGACCTTTCTCAGCCTCAGTTTCCTCATCTGTTAAATGAGGATAACAATAGTACTTGCCTGCCAGGGTTGTTGTGAAGGTCAAGTGAGATAGTGTATGTGGCATGCTTTGGCAAGCTGAGTGTGCTATAGTAATTCCAGGTATAATAACAATAACAACAACAACAATAATCTTCATTATTATTATGACTACTACTCCTCACTTTTCCTGGCTCCTGGATTGTGCAAACCCACTTCCCAAGATACCCAGCTCCTAGAAGAAGGTGCGAACAGCCCCTTTACACTCCTGGTGCCTCCAAAATGAATGTTTCCATTGCATGAATCTGGGGGTGGCAGCTTCGTACATTCTGAGCCACAAACGAGGCTCTTTCTATGCCTTCTCAATTGAGTGTGATGACCAAGTACACAAATACACATACCCCAAACAAACAAACGAAGGCATGGGAGAGGAGAGAAAAGGCTGGCAAGCCCCAGCAGCAGCCAGAGCCTCAGTGGAGGCTGGGCCAGCAGGGGCCCTCGTGGGCCCAGCCGGGTGCTCCCATCAGGGAAAGGAAATCTCTTTCTGGAGCACGGCTGTTATTGCAGCTGGTTGGCAGGCTGCCATGTTTATCTGACCACAGAGTCACTCAAGCTTGGGAAGCCTCCAGTTCAGAGATAGCTGGGTCTTCTGTTTACATATGCTATTTCTCACACAAAACAGAAATAGTTTTATTAAATGCCAAGTTAGTGCTTGTTCTAAAAAAATTATTTTAAAGAAAGAAAATCTGGTTAAACAACTAAGTGCACCTGCCAGATAGAGCTCTGAGCCCAGTGCCAGCATGTGAATTCCAAAGTATTAGGGTTAGATAAGAGGAAAGGGGCAACCTGGAGTTGGGACATAGTGAAACCAGCTTTCCTGTTCTTCAGCTCTCATCTGGAATGGCCCTTCCCTTCAGTATCAATGAGAGTGTCCTTAAAACATTCTCCCCATGACCCGCAAGGAATCATGAGACCTTAAAGGTTATTTTGTCCAACCCCTTCACTCTATAGATGGGGAAATGAGGCACACAATGACATGAGGGAACATGGAATTGTAAGGTCCTGTAGGCAGCCTACAGACAGAAGTATAAAGTGAATGGGACTGGTTTGTGTCTGAGGATTTCTTATGCCATCTGGCTTGGCTTAGGTCAACATAATTTATTATTATTATTACTAATATTATTATTATTATTGCTGTTGTTGTTAGCTAGCATTCATATAGCACTTTAAGACTTGCAAGGCACATTAAATATGTTATCTCATGGGATCACAAAAGCCCTTGGAGGTAGGTACTCTAATTATCTCCATTTTACACATGAGAAAACTGAGAGAAAGGTTAAGTGACTTACTCAGGAACACATAGCTAGTAAGAATGTGAGGCAAGATTTGAATTCAGGTCTTTTCTCATGCCTAGGCCACCTAGGATTCCCCACTTGCTTGCATCTCATCCCCCCAATTACTTTGTGTTTGCTCATTCCTATTTTCATTTTGTCTTTGTTTCTCCAGTGCCTCCAGGGACTTGCCCAGGGTCACATGGCTAGTAAGTGACTGAGGCAAGATGTGAATCCAGGTATTCCTGGCTCCCAGTCCAGTGCTCTGTCTCCTTTCCTACCTAGATTGGGGGAGAAAGTCAGTCATCTGTGTTGGAGGACTTTCACTTCTAGCTGAAAGCAGCAGCTCCAGAGTTGGGCAAGATATATGCTTCTTGCCAAAGCTAACTGAGTTGTTTTCACACCTCATAAAATTGTTTTAAAACGAAGTTTTTCTTCAGTTTTGGGTGAGAGATTTGGGATGATTCCTATCTGATTGGGCCCAGGGTCTATTCCTCCTCCTCCTCTTCCTCACTCCCTGGCTCCTTCCTTCCCTCCTCCTCCTTCCTCCACCTTCTGACTATTCATCCTGTTTTCTCTTGGGCTCTGGCTGAACAGCTTTGAAATCTTGCTGAGAAGCAAATCAGTCCCTTCTGTGTTGAATGTTTATTTGTGGAAGTTCAGCAGGGGAACTGAGCTTGGTGCCAAGACCTGCCACACTGCTGGGAAACCTGAATTTCCCCTCCCCTCCCCCCAGTCACTAGGAGCTGATAGAGGGAATCTGGCCTCCCCAGAGAGTTGGCTCATGGTTTCTCTTCCCTCCCCTCCCCCATACCCCTTTTGAGAAAGCTTCTAGTAGAATATGGTTCAGCTTCCATTCCTTT